CATATTCTATTTGGTCACTGCCTCCCTCCTCCTTTCCTCGCTTCAGGAAAAAAAGAACACCCCCACTGGAGTGTGGGTGGAGTTGTAAGGTATTATTAGTGATACTTCTATGAATGTAGAACAGTAAGGGGAGCCCCTAACTAGCTTATAAATTCAAATATTCAATGTATGGCATTCACCACGTAAATTAATCTTTTATACCACAATCTTTTTCTTCTTCCCCCCTTTGGCCTTTCCATCTCACAGCAATCGAACTTTTGTGGCAGGTTCCCATGTTTACAGCGTCTGGTTTACGTGTTCGTTTCCTCAAGGTAGACTTCCTCATCTAAATGATACAGTGTTTTCTGTTACCTTATATTTTGAGATTACAGCTTCTTTCATATCTGACTGGCAGGTATGGGAAAGGAGTGGGTACAACACAGTCGAGTGGGTTCGTTATATAACGAAGGCTGGGTCGTATGAGATTCGATGCTAGGATGACTTATTGTTGCCAGTGAGTGACACGAGGAATTATTTGTCAATGTGAGTGCATTTCTCCTCCAATTTGATGCAGCCTCTCGTTCTGCATCTTGTATTAGTTGAGGTAGATGTTATTCAAGAAAAGAGGAAAATACGAAGTGACAACTTGAGGTCAATGTTATTTGTGGTAAGTGGGATAATATGCGTGTTTGGAATTGTGAAATTTGGTTTGAGATTTTGTGCTGTAAAGGCCGGTCAATATTGACTGGGAGGCATACCCCAATCTACTTGTTTGTTTGGTTTGACATAAATTTTGAGTTAAAATGTGTAATTTGCTTTGAATTGGAACACATTTTTTGTTTTATTTTATTTATTTATTTTAAACGCGAGTAGAAGTTTGGAATTTGGACTTGTTCATGAACCCGAAAGTAGAAAGCGTTATTCGCTTCTACTCTGTTTGCCAACCCAGACAACATATCCTGCTGGCCTGCGTATATTCGTGTTAATAAGTGAATTTGAAAAGACCACTTTTTTGGGGAAATTGCAGCGGAGTTTCTAACCTTTACTAGGTGGAAAACAGGCATTTAAATTTGTTGAGCTGGCATTTAAAAT